AATATTAATTTTGGAGAGAAATCAGCTGACCAGTTTTAGCAGCTTGCGTTGTTCACAGACAGCCGTCGTTAGATTTCACGACATAAGGCGCACACAAAATATGGACTCTGGCTACACCACGTGTTAGAGGATTTTTTTCTAAATTTAGCATCGGGATTTGTCCACTTTTTCGTTACAGAGTTTTTCTGCCGAAAAGTCGCCAAGTATTACATAACTTACTCTCTACTCCGTAGCGTGAAAGTAAAAGCTGCAGTTCGAAAAAACAAACTAGAACTGCAAAAGAACGAACGAAATAGAAAAGGAAGAGAAAAAAGTCAAGAAAAAAAAACCTTCCGACAAGGAAAGGATGACCTACATATGAAATTAAACGTAGTAAATTCTCTGAAGTGCTGGCATTCTCCTCTTAGGCAAGTCGTCTCTTGAAACAAGGCAAGTGTTATATGTATGTGCCCGAAAATCAGACCTGAGAACTCAACTTCTGGGAATGCTCTCTTTCACGCAAGTTATTTCACAGTAAATGAGTGCCAACAAATCATCAAGTGCTTCATTATGGACGAAAGTGACAGCGAGTAGATTGGATTTTGATTAATACGTTTACAAAGAAAGAAGGGAGAAAAATGTATTCGCCTACAACTAAACCAGCACCTGTCAAGAATAGTGTTTTTTTGTCTTGTTACAAACGTTAACGAGAGTCTCCACCAGTTTATATCTGGTGTAAAATGTTCATAATAGTTATTTTCTAACGTTTTATTCAGATGAGTCGGTTTTTAGTTCCGTCCCGTTCTTGGTTGCTTTTCTTCAGATTATTAATAATTCTAGTAAATTTTCTTTTAATTGATCCTCCATTTGAACTAACATCTACTAACATTAGTTGAATTAACAATAAACACCAGAAACGAGTGTTTATTACATCTGATAACCAGAAATGTTCGCTCCCGGGTAATAAAAATGTTTCGCATCGAAATCGAGTAAGAATATATGATAATACGATATTTCTGCTACCGAAATAATCAACCCCCTTTTTTTCCTACCTAGCGGAATGAGGACTCGAGATACGGGTGCGGGCACAGATGCGGGTACGGGTACGGATACGGGTACGGGCTGAACTCGCACATGCGCCGGAGAGAACGTAAAATGTGTGCGTAGCATTTGTACGTAGAACTATGGCCTAGAGTGCAATGGGTCGGTGAATCACGAACGGAGCAGATCGGACTTTTTACGTTGATTACTAGAGACCAGATTCTTATGTAATTACATATTTTTTGTCTTTCTACTTACGGTTCTCAAAATTGTTATCTTGGCGAATCGTCACCGCGCTAACAGAATATCCAATTTTTCCGTTGCATATTTTTACATATTTAGTACTATAATACATATTTTTCATAATGTGCTATTTTCACACTTTTTATATTCTTTCAATTTTCTTCACTTTTATTACATTTTTTTATGAAAAGAAGTGTTTTTTGAAAACTCAATTTTTTCCCTACATTATTGCGTGCTGTCTACTCCTGAAGACACGTGACCGGCGCGCCTGCTTAGTTTATCCCAATGGGGAGAAGTGCGCGTCAGCAACTGAGATCATTTTCTCCTCCGAATGTAAAAAGTCTCTCAGAATCTGCGTTTATTGACTTTTAATCTTAATTTCCGAGAACCTTTGGCGATCGCTGACGTGTACCATTTCGATAAGTGTGCTAGACGCTGCAGTGATTCCTGGTCTTCGATATCGCCATTTTGCACAATGGCTTCTATTGCGTCTAGTCTGGAAAATTACGGCCTGGACCGCAATAGATGAAGCTTTTACTTACGACAGGAAATTGCATGATGCAGAGTACATCAACTTGTGCTCTTCAAATGAGTTTTAAAACGTTTGTATTATCTTTAAAAATTGTTTTGGAGATTTTTTATACATGTAATTTCGTATTATATAAATGTGTTTTATAATTAGAGCTTTTCAATACATATTTAGAGCATTTTATCCGATTTTACACACTTATTACATATTCTTACAGTTTTCATTAAATATTTATGAACATGTCTGGACGTTTCATACTAAAACATCTTCCCGGTCTCTATTGATTAAACTGTTCGCCGTGACGGTGGGTGCCGTAGACCGTGAAGGACGATCCACATCCTCTGCAGTTTGCAAGAAGTCCGCAGGAGAGATCTAGGCATCTGGACGTGCCGTTCCGTCAGTCCCGGAAACGTCATCGACACGTGCGTCAGCTCAGGACGGCCTTTCCTCCGCTTCAGTTGTGAGGTTATGTGAAACACGACGAGCGAACATGATCATTTAGCTATGTTGATCTTGAATTATCCCGAGTTGTACAACATTAAGGTTGATTTGATGAATTACCAAAGTGGCATTTAGTTGGTTAGCTAAACTATCTGTAACAAGGCGTAATTCAAAATACCGGATATTTGTAAGAAGCTATGCAATAAGAGTGAAAATACGTACTCTATAAATGCACGATAAATAAATTACACCATATTTTGGAACGATATATTGGTTTACTAATCAACGCGGCTTATTTTTGTCTCTTATTTGCGAGAATTATTTTGTCTTCCTTGTGTCGATTGTTTTCCTAAGTTTCCGAATAAATTAATGCAATTATGATTCTGTTCCCTAGTTCTATATGATTGTATACACTTACAATATTTACCGAAATATTCATTTATATATTACACACACACATATATCAAAATATCTAATTGAGCTTCAAATTTATCATGAGACATCCTTAAGTATTGAAATATTGTTTCTTCTTCGTCGGGATATATCGGGAGTCCCATTTAACCAGACAAATCGAAATAATTCGAAAAACACGCAACGTACAAAAAAAAGTCTCAGACAAAAATAAATATCTCCAAGGGGTACAAGGGCAGTGTTAGAATTCTTGAAAGGTGATAATCAAATATCCCTTACCGAAGAAAACGGGTATAACCAATATTTATATTACTTCTGTATGCGTATAAACAGAATTTACGAAGACTATTCCACTGATGAAATTAAGATCAATAGTGTTTAACTATGCATACAAAATGCAATAATCAGGGTGGTATATCTCAAAACGTTTATCGCTTTTTCTATCCGATTTTTCCTTCTGGCCAATCATAAACCGTGAGGCATCTTAGGAGGCGGTATACATCGATCACTATGTCGTCGATGTCCAATAAATCGCGAATGTTCTATAAGATAACCTCTTTTATCTTAACATAACCTTCTGTCATTTTCAATATTTGGTGCATTTTGTAACTCTCTCGGACACAATTTCATTCGTGGAATCCTATTAAATACCAATCGTGCTTTGGAATTTCTCAGGTAAAACCCCTCCGCTTTAAAAGTCGGGGATTTATCGACAATTTCCAATGTATTTGTGATATTCATATGATATTATTATTATTATTATTATTATTATTATTATTATTATTATTATTATTATTAAAATATTTAACAGCAGAAATTAGAGAAATTAGAGTATAGCAGAAAGTTATACTCTAATTTCGAATTTACTTCACTATTCTCAACACTGTCTTTAATTACACTAATTGAAGTAATTGTAATAGTGTCTAAGTGTGTAGACCTGTAGTGTTCGTGATTTCTGGTGTGTGGTGTAGTTTGTATGTGTGTGTAAATCTTTTAAAACTGACAAAATATGGTTATGAGAAAGACATATAAAAATAAATTCCTCCTCTATGCAATGCCTGCAGTATTGTTTTTAGTTTTATTCTGCGTTATTACTACTATTATTACTATTATTATTATTACTATAATTATTATTACGATTATATTATTATTATTATTATTATTATTATTATTATTATTATCTTTCAAGTATCTCGTTTAGCGGGATGACCTTACTCTCTTTCTCAGTTTTACTGAGCATAAGAAACCTGTATTTTGGTGTCTTACAACGAGATTACGCTCTTATAAAAAGAGAAGTTACCATACACGACTTGAGCTTTTTGTAAAAAAACTTGGAACAATGTGCCAAGTCTGTAGAAAAACTGCCTCTTGTGGAACAGTTTGCAATTTTTTCGGTAGTTCCAAATTTCTGAAATTATTTTTCAAAATTTGTCATCACTCCTTCCAATGATATCACCAAATTATTATTATTATTATTATTATTATTATTATTATTATTATTATTATTATTATTATTATTACTATAAGTAGAATATTTTTTTATCTTCGAGGGAGAGTTGCCTAACGATGTACAAGACGGCGATTGCAGCAACTAGCCCGTCGGCGGCAGTTGCGAACCACAATGCATCCCGAGAACCCGCTAAGGCCATCCTCGGGAGACTCCACTGCCGCTGTCCTCTTTTGCAGACGCAGCCCGCCATGCGCCCACGCCTGCCGCACGATTTCCTCCATTCAAACTTCCATAATTACTTATTTTTATTACTTACAAGTACTTCCACTAGTACTTATAAGTACATTACGTATATATGTACATTACGTATATATATGTACTATTGAGTTAAAAGTGGCTCAATACCCTCGCATAACAGTACAATAAATTAAGTATTGAATGAAAGACATTATTCACGAATACTACAATAATATGCAACTCTTCAATTCCCTGTTTCTGGATTTGCATAAACAAAAAGAAGCGAAATTGAAATCAATACTTTAATCAAAACTAAAATGATTATATTAACAATGAAAAAATGAAATTACATACAGTAACACAGCATTTCTTTACATACGTTTATGTTTTAGTTAGATCATTACAAGTTTACTACCATGAATTAAAGCGCCGGTGAGGTACTTTCTAATAATTAAAGAAAAGGTGAACCATTATGTATTTAACATCGTATTCCTCCCGTTGCTGAGAGATAAGCTGTGATGATCGCTACGCGATCGAGAAGATCTTCAGATTAAATGTATATTGATACCTGACAACACATTTTCTTTAATACTTTACTAGCACTGTCAAAAAAAGATTTTAGTATCTGCCGCAGCGTAAAATGCGCGCCGTTATCCCGTGTGCACTAACGACCAGCCCTCTTTAAACAGTCCTTTCCGCAGCTCTCGGGGGGTGACCGGGCCGGTTGGGGTGCGGCAGGTAGCAGGACGGCGGCGGCGCCACCCCGGTCGCGCTCCCTCCCCCGCGGGGCCGGCGGCGCCGTCGCCCGCGCGCCCCCGGGGCTCGAGGGTCACGCGAGGCCGCCTCGCCTTGGCTCCTTCGCAAGTGGGGCGGCGACCACCACCGGCCGCAGTCGCCAAGGCGGCCGTCTGGCCACCCGGCATTTCCGGCGCCTCGGCTGGAGCCACCGCCCGCTCCGCGCCGAATTCTAATGAGTCGGCGAGCGTCTGCTTTCTCTTCCTCAAGAAAACCCCCGCTAGCCGAGTGCAGGTCGGTGCCGGATCTTGGGGGGACACCACCGCCACCTTCCGAGCAAAGAGCATGCACTACACGTATGGGACTAACCACCTTGGTAGTTGACGCACCCGGAATCACTAACGATCAACTAATCCACTCTTCGTAAATGGTGGCACTTAGCGCGAGAGAAATCTCTTCAGATCGCGGCTGCTGTTTTGGGAAAAGATTTGCTATCTCGCGACATCGAAGGAAAGCACCATCCTTATCGAAGCTATCCGAGGACAAAGTTTAATAAAAGTTTGGAGCCATTTCTGAGGTTTCATGTCCAGTACCTTCCACAATCAAAATATGCGTTTCATTCTCTAGAGGGACAAGAGTTCATTTAAATCAATCGTGGAATATTTATTTTGGAGAAAATCGGCTGAACGTTTTAGGCGATAGCGTGAACCACAGACATAGTTTACCATCAATCGATTTTTCTTTATCAACAACCTGCAAAACATCGATTCTGATGCGTTGATTCTCCGTGTTTGAAGAAGTAATAAACTATACTTTATAGGAACACGATTTATACATTGTTTCGTGACTTGGGCCAGCAATAACAGTTTTTTCTGGCGAAACTTCGACGTTTTCGGGCGCACTGATTTAATTCTTTCACTTCTTACGAAGGGCCAGAAGGTTAAAAGGGCGGAGGCTGTTGCCGATGACCTACGTTCATCTGTCGCTGGAGATGCGCTGTGTCAGCGGCGCGGCCCTTTGAAGGACCCCCTCCCCCCCGCGCCCGTGGCGCCTCGGCGCGCGACCCTTCTGCCCCTCAAGAACGCTTCACCCCCGCACTGTCGCACTTTTTTCTTTTCTTGTCGCGACGGCGGTGCCGCGGCCCCTCTGCGGGCCCAGACCCCCCCCCCGCCCCCGGCGTCGTGCGAAGCGCCGGAGCTGTTGCCACCCCGCGCCGGATGTTGCAAACTCCGTGGCCCGATGCCACGCGAAATCTATGGCACATCGCAAGAGACTGCGTAAAGTTACGTCTACACATTTAGTTTTTATACGTTTCGATTTTTACAAGTCAAAATCATACTTACTGGATGAATCCTTTCATTACAATAAAAAACAATTGAGCATCAACGATACCGATCGTACGATATTCTCGGATATCTACATCTATTGTTTATGGTTCTTTCCAATCAAAATATAATGCACTGTCACAAGTGTTTGTTATAATTTGAGTTATGAGTATTACAGAGAATCTAGGTGCGAATAAAAAATCGGGCGTATTCATTCGAAAACGGAACATTGAGAATACATTTTGAAAATACTTCTGATATTTTAAGTCTTAGTATAATTCATTTCTATGATGGGAAGATACTTTAACTTTTATTTGTCACGAAAATGTAATAGACTTTGCCATATAGTACGAATATTGATGCGAGAAAATCGATCTTTTCTTTTTATCATGTATTTTACATGTATATGTATTACTTAAATCAATTTACTAATAAAAATCACCAAAAAATCAATAAATCGGCAGTGGACCCTGCAGGCTTCCCTGTTGGAAATGCACAGAGCCTTTTATAGATAGATTCAGAAGATATTCAGATAGATTCAGAAAGTGCAGACGGAGTCAATTGCCTAAGTATAATGGAAAATGATATACCATTATTGAATCACTTTTCTACGCTTTTAAACGTGATTAAAATGCCACTTCTATCACACGTTTTCCGACTGCTAAAGTTTTTTTATCCCTGCTCGATTATAGTGCTAAAAAAGTACTTCCATTTTATTGGGATTAGTGGGAGATTTCAAGGCTAAGCGGTCACGTGGGCCGCTAACTAAACAACATCTTTTAAAACAAAAAAAAACTTATTTGGAAACAACTCTCTCAAGCTTTCCAGGGCCCTAATAAAATCGAAGAAAAGATTTCTCATGCGATAGTGATGTCGATAGATATCACATATTCCCGCACGTTTTCTTGAGCCTTCACTTCCCCAAATGCAAGGGGAGTGGGAGCTGGCTATTTCGACGACAGGACTATTGTATCAAATCTGTAGCTCCTTTTCCGCCGCAAAAATACATTCTTTTACAAAACAGCGAACATTTCTGGTCAACAGATTTTGTCAACAACACTTGTTACTGACATTTTTATTTAAACTATAATCTATAATTCAACTATTATAATCCTAGTATAGGAGTGGGACTCAAGCAAACGTGCGCGTATGAAATGCATTGTACATTTCGAACTATTGAAATATTATTGATTTTTTTAACGATTCCCGTATCAAATGCGCCCGGAGAAATATCGATTTCAGTTTTAAAGAGAGAAAAAGAATTACATACAATGGAAGGAGAAAGACTACGTAACGACCACTGCTCTTGAGCCGGCGATGGCCGGGATTAAAATGTCATAACAGCATCCTACTTCACCAACAACTCTCTTTATATAAACACGTACTACATCGTTAATTAGAGAATTTAACATTATTTCCCTTGCAATATTCTCACCAAACTCAATAATTCTAAAGCGTCAATGTTTTCAATTTTTCACACAACTATTTTGACAGTGCTACTACAGCAAAAAACGAGGAAAGTAAACAGCTGTCTCTCATGAACCACAATTGCTTCCCTTGAAAGATGTCAATTAGCCATCAGTATAGCCTGCATTTTGGGCAAATGACTTCAATGTCAAGTGAAAATAATGGCTAAAATACATACTCTCTCTGATATTTGGGTCTGTTATTCCAACATTATGTTTCTCGCAGTACAAGAATAACAAAAGCTTTAGAAAAAGGTCATAATAGTGATGTAATGCCAGCTATCACAATCCCAAAAGTCAATAAATTTTTTTAAATGTACGAATATGGGTAATTCCTCGAAGTCGATTCTTAAAAATAAATAATGAGAAAATAATTACGATTTTTTAAAGAAAATGCAGGACTTGGGAGTTTCAAAAAAAATCTACAAAGCACAAAATTGCATGAGAAATATAACGACAAATGTAAATAAAGGTTCAAATTTTCAATTTTGAGACGCACAATCGCATTCATTCCCCCAAAAGGGCTTATGTTTATTAATGCTGGCGAATTAAGTATACGTATTAATTTCAATCAGGTTTTGCTAATCCTAAATATGATTTACGAATCTAATTTTGATGTAGAAATATTTATTTGGAGCCCAAAGCTCTAGTAAATAAGGTGATTGTTATGGGTAGTAGAAGTGGGTTTTTCTACTGTTTAAGAACAGCACATTACAGTACATTAAAACAAACTCAATACACTTCCAAATAGTTCACTTCCATCCACCCTAGCAGTGAGGGTTGAATACGGTTAGGTGAGGGAGACGAACCACGTTCTCGGAATCTTTGAAACCCCGCGCTTTAGAACCAGATCAATGAATCTCGCAAACGCCACTCCCCTCTCCCCACATTCCTTCCACACGAAGCTTCCGTTCGGGACAATCAGCAGTTGCGTGCGAAACATACTATTATTTCGGAGGTTTCGTCCATCACATTCTCGCACATTCGGAGATCATATGTTGAACCTAAAATAAAGGACACCCTCAGTATACGCCCGTTAAGGCAGGGATGCCTCAGAACAAACTCCTGTCAAACAGCGAGCGAATATCTTTAACATAATAGTTTTAATTTTCACGAAACACTACATATGTTGCGCATTCGAATCGTAGTAATCAGAAGTGAACACTGCAGACTTGTGGGGAGCTTCGTGTGTAGGGAAGGAAGAAGGCAGGGGGCCCTGGTGCAGACGATGTCACCCGAAGGGGAGCTGCGAGAGGAAACAGCGACCGCCTCCTGTTCAGTGGGCCAATGCGCTCCATTTGCACTCACGCACAGCAACATCGCATCTCCCTCTCTCGCACGCCCACGCACGCGCCCACACGCGCCAAGGCACGCAGACGTCTGCAGAGTAGACAATAGCACTCGCAATATTGATGAGTCACGTTACATGGGTAGTAGACACACACATTCAGATTGCTGTACACTGCGTCCGCGTGCGACACCCGGGCGGCGACGGCGCTTCCTTCAAGGCTGACACTTCACATACGAAACACGACGGCCCAGACGCGGCCAGCGAGATTGATTTCACAATCTGCTCAAGATGCATACGCAGCCGCCTTAGATACGCAACCGCCAATCGCGACGACATGCGTGAGAGATATCGCGTTCCCACGAGTTGGCAACAGGCGCGACGGGGCGCCGTTCCTCCGGTGGAAAATTCGGCCGGCGAGGGCGGAGGCCGGGGCCCTGGCAGGCCAGGCACGGGCCACGTCCGGCCGACGGCGGGGGCCCGGTCGGGGGCAGTGTTTACCTCACAGCGCAGCACAGGCCGGCGACGCGCAGCCGCTGGGCGACGGTGCGAGCGAATCGGGCAGCTTACTCAGGCTGACCAGGGCTCGCATAGGCCGCCGGCGGCGCGAACCGGGACGGACGGCGGGCGGAGCAGGCGCCCCCGCACCGCAGCCAAGCACCTCGCCCTCGCTAACACGGCGCGGCACGAGGACCGCACGAACTTTCTCGCACCCACACAAAGACAGCTGCAGCTCGGGCGGGCACCACGGGACGATACCCTCTCACGCGCGCACAGACACACACGGCACCCACAACACACAACAGACAACTGCCGGCGGCGCCGCGCCACCCGCACCGCCCGACCCTGGCGGCTGGGCTGGCATCGACTCGCCCGGCCGCCACCGCCGCCGCACGCAGGGCCGACAACTCCCCGGACCGGGCGCAGCCCCCAGCGCCCACCGCGCCTTGTGGCGCCACCCAGTAGCGGAAAGCGGACAAACACGATCCCGTAGTTGCGGCGTCAGCCGCTAGAGGCACCCACAGCGTTCCTGTGAGGATTCACATTTTCGATTCACAACTTCTGTCAGCGCATCTGTCTTCTGTGATCAATGCTAGCGCTTCATGTAT